AAATATAAAATCGACAACTACGGAAAAGAGGTTCAGCATCTACATAACCAAACCGTAAAATTGATACACTCTACTTTAAAAGGAAACATCGAGGAACTATGGAGGAAAACAAAGCAAGTCAACTATAAGGACTTTAGAAGCACTGAAATAGCGACAAATAATCATATACTAGTATTAAAGAAGCACATGGGACGTTTTGTTTTTCATCGCTTGACACTTCCTCAAAGGTATTCAATGGTTACATATTGAGGAGCACATCTTGTAACCATAAATTACACAAAAGGCTAAAGAAGTATAATACATATACGGTGGTTCGTTGTCCAATAATGGGCACTATTATCCCTGCCATAACAACGTATACTGTCACCTAAGCACTATCAAGGTAAAGTTTACAGAAACATGAAGGTTGAAATTACGAGTTAAAAAGAGGGAAGCGAAATTTCCGTAAAAAACCCTAATATATCGCAAAATTCAAACATTTTTACAATGGTTTTATTTTTGCAAAATTTTCGACGGGATAGGTGGCGCAAAAGCAAAAAGTTGAATTTTGAATTTTGAAAGAATAATTTGCAGTTTAAACATATTTTATTGTCTAAATAAACAATAGGATTGGATACAAGTTATAACAACTTAACATAATCCTCTCCAAATAAATACAATACTAGTATACAAAATTTCAAGATGACAGCAATAATATAATATAAACAATATGAAAAATATATACAATAAATATATCATGTTTAAACAGTAACAGTTGGGTACGAGTAAATTTTAAGATACAGAAATATCAATCAAAGAATTGTTTTGTATGGCGTATATAACTATGTATATTTCTGAAAAGGATTGTGTTTTGTTCAACACTAATTTCGTTTGTTCCAAATAAAACATGTTCTATGGAAATAGCAACTAACTGTTGGATATTTTCAAAGAGCTGATTTCTAAAATGTATGTAGAGTAGAATAATTTGTATGCAGCTTTTCCTGAAGAAAAAAGTCGTTGTAATGACTCTAGTAGGACCAGAGAGCACGATATTAACATACCTTTCGTAAAATCGCACCTGATAAATTTAGAAATTATAAAGAAACTAAGGTTTCAACTCACCTGGACAAAGTTTACCTCCGATTGGATATTCTTTTTATGTCCTTTTTGTTCATAAACTCCTCAAGTATTTAATTTTATAGGTATACATCCTTGGCTTTCAAATTTTTGGGTTTAAACGTTCCTGATAAAGCTAAATTCAGGAAAGCCCGTATGACACACTAACTTTATAAAATGTTATTTTCATTTATATACACACACACTTTTATTTTTAATAATGCCCCAATCAAACCGGACGTGACTGCATATTTTTATCCATTAATATCCCGCATGTCAAAAGGACGCCCTCATGCCAGAACTGTTAATAGGACTCTTTCAGAGCTAAAGAAGCAGTGTGTTATTGCTTTTCCTCGCTTTGCAGTTGAGCACAATCATTCAATGATTAGCTAAGTAAGAGCGAATGCGATAAACATAAATCCCAAAAAGTTATACCAAAGAAGTAAGAGCGCATGTGATAACCATAAAGTATCACCAAAGATATGCTCATGAACTAAGAGCGCATGGGATTACAAAAAATTATTACACGAAATTACTCATGAACAACTAGCGCATGCGTTAACCACAACATTATCAGGAAACATATTATGCTCATGAACCAAAGCGCATGCACTAACAAATCAGATATGCTCATGAATGAAATCGTTAGGTAATTAAAAAAAAACAACAAACAAAAAAGAAGAGATATAAAGCTGCAAAATAGATTTATTAATTCCATCGTTTCCAAAGAGGAATATAGATTTGCGATAAATGCATGCAATAATAAATCATATGGTTACAAAACTTCAAGTTTTTCCTGACTTTTTCCGGGGTGTACACAAAGCAAAACACATCAAACACCGCAACATTCCGTGTAAGAAGCATTTATATATTTTTAAGAAAATTAAGGGAGACAAACACTGGATTTATTGAAGATAAGTACATTCCATATATGTACTTTAGAAAAACATAAAATTATAAATGTTGTTTTTCTTTTTTAATTAAATTATGTCGTTAATCATATCGAAACGAGAAATATTAGGTCATGACATTTAACAGGTGTATACGTCCGGTGCGTTATAATTAGCACTTTGTACGTAAGAGAAGCAAAAAACGCACAAAGCCAACTGCGATTTTTTTTTCTTTATAAATTACGATCAGACAGAATTTTCAATTAAATAAAAACATTTACCAAGCGGTAAGTATTACTTTTTAACAACGTGTATTCATCAAGTAGTATATCTTTTATTCTTTTGAATTTACGACCGAAGCGGGAAAAGTGTGGTACAGAATTACACATTTCAAGGTCATTGACGTTCACAAACCAACATACATGTAGATTGTTTTTAAGCAGTGTTTGTTTCTAATCTAGTGATATTTTTCAATAAAAAATCATGAATCTAAAAGCTGTTTTCAATTTGGACAGATGATTAATCAGAGGATGTAGTTAAACTTGTTTAACCTCGCCACATATGCACGTGCCTGTCCAAAGTCAGGAACCGTGGTAGTGATTATATTCCGTCTTATAATATTGTTTGTTATTTTGAGAATTTGGTTTTAATGGCAGATCTTGGGATCTATATGATTCATTCACAACTTTGGTTAGTCTCGTGGCGATTTAGAGGTTGTCATATTGTAAAAACACGTATTTATTATAATTGTAATCTGTTACAGACTGCATGCTGCCATCTTGTCTTTTGATTTTTTTGTCGTTGTATTAACGTCTCGTTGTCGTTTACCACTAATCTACTTTTATTGTCGTGTATAACCTGAAAAGATGATGATAAACAATGATTGATTCTTACTTGTCGGGAGAGTCATATTCCTCAGAACGATGATAGTTTGTTTTTTAACATCCTGTGGGCAAGCCAAATATAACGAAAAAAACTTTATACTCGGAGTTCCTCGTAGCTATTCTAACAATTAAGATAATAATCCGCATTGTTTTGAATTGTCTAAAAATTAAATTTTCTACATAAACAAAAATATATTCAAAACGTCTAATCCTAGTAAACCGTTTGAATGAAAAAAATAAATTGTATAGATAAAAAGCAAACCTCTTTCTCAATTACATTTTTTTACTAACCCAATGATCATATTTTTTAAAATTGCAATCCTTCCGTTTTTTTTTAAATCCTATATATCATGTACCTGACCACAGCAGGATAATTGCTCATAATTCATTAAGTTAAGAAAAACGATGAAAAATTAGTAAAAACATATCATTTGTATTCATAGAGCGAAATTCGCATATTGCGAATTATGTAAATTTGTGGCATTAACATTATATCAAAAGAAAAAAAAAACCAAGTCTGCACTAAAAGGCGTGTTTTTTGTTTACATATCGTACTGAAAGCTATGACTGGCACCATTTGTCAATGTTTACAACATTTTAATTTTTTCGTTGAATTATGACAATTCATAACAATACTTTCTTCGTGAAGAAAAATATGTTCTAAAGTGTAACAATTTGCATAAACGAGAATTATTTAAATCAGAACACGTCTCTCCCTTAAAAAGATGCATTTACAAGGGTAGGATCCAGGATTTTAAGTTAGGAAGATCGCTCCTGAAATTTGAGAATTAGAGGACTGCGCACGCCCGTCCGCATCCGCGCATGTTTACTGCTGTGTACATGCACTTGCACTTGATTGCTGGTTACTTATCGTCAAGTGAAAGTAAGATGAAGAAAAGATTCTTATTTGTTTGGCTAATCTAGATTAATCACTATAGGTATCCTGGAGTCTACAATAAGTTCCAGCTTTTACGTCCGAAGAGTACGAATTCACCGCATGAAAAGTACAACTGACCTCACGGGGCCAATGAACGTTTAGCAAACAGCAACACAACAATCGTTATACCCAGACTCATTAATATACTTCAGATGTGTGTGTTTGTTGTTTAACAGTAGAACTTATATGAATAAACATATGATTTACGTCCGCTTAATTAAACACGAACTCCTTCTGTAACTAGTATGAATGGATTTTTTTCATTTTTTTTTTCATCTTTTATAAAATGCGCATGTTGAATTTATCGCATGCCTGATTACATGCTATTCTTACATAGAATATATCATGTTTTTGATTACAACCGTCAAGGGTCAAACAGGGATCAAGAAAACATGTAATTTTTTTCATATAAAAATCGATGTCCACAATAAGTCATTTTTAAGTGTATGAGTGATTTTTGTGTCAATTCAAGCTTAAAAATGATTTTCAGGTATCCGTAGTTAAATTGAATCTTTTTCGTTGATTTAAACATTATAATGAAATATAAAGTACAATACGATAGAAAATAAAACAAAACAAGGAGAACAGAAGGTAATGACACCGTTAAAAATAAAATGAAACAAAAAATGACAAAAACAGCACTTAAACTCTTGGATTAACTGCTAGCGTAGTGGCTGCAAGCGAGTCGACTGTTAGCTTAATTCTATTGAAGTTGACACAGAAGTCAAACCACAACATTAAAACAATATTACGACACCGATATCAATGAAAAGAGGTGAAGATGTCTTTTCAAAATTATGCACTAGGTTGAACTTCAGTTCGTTTTTATATTAACATAAATAAAACATTAAATATGAGAGAGAGAGAGAGAGAGAGAGAGAGAGAGAGAGAGAGAGAGGAAATTAAATAATTTATAGTTAAACATCACGTTTATTGATTGTTTAATCGTCCTGAATATACACGAGATATTTTACATGACGGTACTTTTAGCAAATGACAATAAACCAATCGATGAAATGTAAGTAGTTTTCATTTCAAATTATTGAAAAAGAGAGAAAAAAGAAAAGAAAAATATAATACCGCCCATCTCATTGCAACCTATTGAATTTTGCCCGATATATACATCATAACTAAGTTTACCCTGACATTTGAATAAAAAAACATATATATAGATCAATACACACATCTGTTGCAGGATACTTACATGTACGACTTAACACGTCAATAAATATAGTCGCTTTCACTGTAACTCAAAAATCAACCATGGCGTGAAATGGAAGTTTCTTCAAAATTAAGGTAGGGAACTTAATATGAGGTTTACCCCCTGCATTGTTTCAGTGAAGTGTTCATTTTTTAAGTTTCGATTAGGCGAGGTCTTGTCGTCTGTTAGAAAGTTTAAAAGGTCACGGTCCGTCGTGTTGATTTTTCTTTAAATAAAACATGCAGCTAATATACAAGTAATTGACTAGTCACATACACGTTTAAAATATATATAGTAACAAAATATATATTTTGGTGCTTGATTCTCTATTTAAATTTTTTCTCATAAAAATCAATTCATGTATCTATTTAAGGACAGATGTTGACATGTCTGTAAACAGTAAATATAAATATAAACAAATCACAAAAAAGTATATGGTATATTACCCAAAGCTACGTACATGATCTCTGAACGATGAACTCGATCAGCTCAAAACTCACAACGTGAAATTGCACCATAAAAGCAGGATCTTATTTATCTATGCTAAAAAATATGAGTAAGTTTATATAGTATGCTTATCATATTACATCAAAGTCAGTCAGAATATTATAACAAAGCAAGTGAAGAAACAAATTGTTATACTTATTCAAAGATGTCTTTTCTATCTCCCAAAAAGTAAAATTTTATTTTTATATATGTTGAGTTCTAACAGAAACGCAACACATGATATTTGGCTCTTTTGTTTTAAATTTTAAGACATTCCTCGAACATTTGATTACATGCATCTGCATTTTCAAGAAAGTTAAGTTATATTATCATAGGGATCAAAAGAGAAACTCACTATTCGTTTATCAAAATGTCAGTATACGCTACCAAATTCAAAGAATATTTGTCGAACTGCATACGATTTTAAAACTGGTGAGTGAGGGATTTATCATGGCTGAACTGTACCATTCGAAGTTCAAAGTAAAACTTTTTGCAGTAAAATGTGGAATTTGTGAACGATAGGATATCAATATCGAACAGAAATAACAATTCGCAGTTTCAGAATCTAATGCATTCTGGGTAATATTCTCAAACGTGATTGGTTAAAAAAAGTCCTAAATAATGGAAATTCAACCAATGGCGTGATAATATTTTCATGTTGGGTACGGAGAATTAAATTACCCATAGTCCTTTAGATTCTGAAACATAATATCCAAAGAAATCCATAAATCTTACCATGGTAGGGGTAAGTTCCAAAGATTGACTGGTGGTTGCTTAACGTTCAGTGGCAAATAGTTCATGCATGTTCATAAAGATCCAAAGAACATGTTAGTTCGATTTTTTTTTTATTAAATTGAAAATAACCGGATGTTGGGTTTCTATACGCAGTCCGTATATAAAAAAAAAAAAAAAAAAAAGAGAAAAAAAAAGAGAACTCCACGATGACTGCATGGTAACACACCATAACCAAAAAGGAAAATAATATCATAGTTGACGCCATGCACAGTGTGCAGTAGGTCAATCGCCATTGGTTCCCATGTCAGAAGTAACGTACTTGGACAACTTCGCCAAAACGTATCAGTATATACAGACATTGCTATATTAAGAATATACGCTGTTTTTAGTACATTTGTTTTCCGTTTTCATAACATGTACCTTGTAACATGAAAATGTAAATAATTCGCACATAAGAACTTATTTGTAGTATCGTTTTAAACTTAAAATTAAAATTTGATGGTTATATTTTTTCAAGCGGAATTCTTACTATTCAGATTTTTGTATATATCCGTATTAGTGTCTAGTATGATGGGGTTTACATGATAGGGAATAGTGGTCAAAAAGTGCAGATTAAAGGGCTTCGAATTTAGAATATAGAAAGAAATAGGGAAGAATAAAGAATTAAGAATAATAGGGTGCTAAAATATGCAGAAGAGAGAATGATGTGAAAAATAGATAAAGAATACGGAAAAATGATAAAAAAATAAGGATTAAAGAAATGAAAGACCACTACTCCAGGCTCTCAGTACTGAAAAAATCTACATTGTAATCATTTGGCAAACCTGGGCAAGCGGAAGGTACCGGAATATTACGAGGTTTGCCGAATTCCCATAGACGAAGTTATAAGATATTCAACAGCTTGTGAATACTAAATTTATATTTTGTTAAAAAAATAACTCATTTGATACACGTAAACTTCAAGCGTTTATTTTGTAAATAAACTCATTATTGATACCAGGATTGAAATTGTGTACGCCAGACGTGCGTTTCGTCTACAAATGGCTCAGCAGTGACGCTGGTTTCAAAAAATTTAAAGTGCATTTACATGTACATGTATATAATTTAGGATAGACATATCCCTTATTTGAATAAATGTTTGATAAACTATTAGTTAAGTACTACGTTTTTATATATTAGTACAAGTTTATTGCTTTCTTGTTGTATCGTACTGGTAGTTATGAGTTCCTCTATTTTACTTTTTTTTTTAGAATTTCAATGATTTATGATTTTATTTCTCAGAAATTTATTAATAGAGAAATCAATTTCCTGGAATAAAATCTTTTCCATGAACCCATATATTCATGTTCATGTAATACACAGAAAATTAACTGATATCGCTGATGTTTTTGGTGACTTTTTTATATGGTTGGTTCATCTGTAATCTTATACACCCACCCCCTTTTTTTGGGTTTAAATTTCACCAGCATAAAGCTATTGTATATGTTTTAACTTAAATAAGATTTTTCAGCATTATACACTACCCCAAACGGACGCTTGCTTGGGTAAGGAATCGTAGCCTTCCACGAAAGCTCGTTGGAGATAACGAGAATGTAATCCAAGATAATAAGGCATTTTTTTTCGGATAATTTAATTGGAAGAAAAGTCAGTGCAGAAAGGTCAAATAACAATCATATAATTATAAATTACAACAATAATTATGTCCAGGAAACATTAAGAGACAAACGTCTGAAGCTATGACTCAAAAACACTAGTTCGTTAAATCTAGCGGAATTCCATGAAAAAAGGTTAATCCAAATTATGTTGTTTGAAACATGTTATATTGATCAATGCGAATAACAGACTTTACATGGTAATTGTCATTATAAAGATACAGGGTTCTGAGTACAAGTTCTTTAAAATTTAAGAACACAGACGGGGAACCAGAATTTGGATTTGGTATAGTTGTAAATTAGTATTTGTCATATTTTACATGTTTTTAATTATAATATGATATTTTTCACTCAAAGGTCAAGGTCCGAACGATGTTAGATATGAATGTTAGAGAATCTAAATAATGTTCTTGAAACATGTGCTATCAATGTTCTATATATTCTAAAAATGCAAAATGTTCTTCTTGAAAACTCTTTTAAAACTACATAATCGGCAGAATCTATAAATATTGCAGTTAAGAGTCATTTTGAAGCAATCGGTACATCTAAAATAAAAAATGTTAAAACGTCTTGAAATTTCTTGTTACTTGCATATTTTCATTTCAATTTTTACATTAATTTCGTTTCATACATTTTATATGAAAAATCAAGAGACAAAAATTCTATTGTTTCAAATGACTCTTTCTGAGAAAAAAAACCAAGTACAAGTACCTATTACTTAGACTTCCATGTTTTTTTTAAGAACCATACATTATTTATTGAAAAAGGCGCTACTGAAGGGTTAAAAAATTCACATCCTTGACGTTTTACGAATTTGGTGATGTTGTTTAAGAATTGAATGCTTTTTTTATAATTTCATTGGGGTGTAAAAGCGTTGACCGAAGCACAGTTTTCCGCGCTTTATGTTAAATCAACGCTTCATTATTAAAAGACACATCAATTCTTGTAATTACATGTTTATGCTACAACCATGAAATTGAGAGTTATATCAAATTTTACGTTTGTTTTTCAATGCATTATATTTAACATTGTCACGGATAGCATTGCAGTCATAGCTGTTATATGTTATACGGAAATGAAATATGATATTGGTTGACTGGCGATTATTGTCAGTCAATCAAAATTCCCGATTATAGCGAAACATACATATCATGTTTAACCCCGCCCCATTTTTTGCGCCTGTCCCAAGTCAGGAGGAGCCTCTTGCTTTTGTTAGTCTTGTATGTTTTTTAATTTTAGTTCATGTATATGTTTTGGAGTTTAGTGTGACGTCCATTTTCATTGAACTAGTACACATTTTTGTTTAGGGGCCAACTGAAGCCCGCCTCCGGGACTCCGGGTGCGGGATTTTCTCGCTGTGTTGAAGACCCATTGGTGGTCTTCGGCTGTTTTCTGCTCTTTGGTTGGGTTGTTGTCTCTTTGACACATTCCCCATTTCCATTCTCAATTTTATATACATGTAATGTACAATTCCCAATCCGCAATTGCATAATGCTTAATCAACTGAAAAAAACTTATAAAGGAATTGTATAGGAGAAACACTACGGGTGTTTAATGTGAAGAAGGATCTTCTTACCCTTACGGAGCACCTGAGATCGCTCTGGGTTTTTGGTGGGGTTCGTGTTGCTCAGTCTTTAGTTTTTATACGCCCGTTTACGGGTGATATTATGATATACCGTTGTCCGAAAAAAACTCAAAAACGCTTAAATCAATTTGCATGAAACTTTGATGAATTGTTTATATCTATTGACGTGAGCTCCCTTTTAATTTTTATAAATTTTAGATTTTATGTTTCAGAGTTATGGGGTTTTATTCATTGAAAAAAGGGGGATTTTCCAGTTTTCGGACAATAACTCAAAAGTGCTTTGAGCAGTTTTCATGAAACTTTGGTGACTGGTTTATATCTATTTAAATAACCTCCGTTAAGTTTTTTTTTTATAAATTTCTGAAATGACATTGAGGAGTTATGGAACTTTATTCTTTGAAAAAACGACGGGCGTATCATGCGCTCCTCATGGCGCAGCTCTTTATTTAGGTAATGTTTTGATGAATGTTGTTTGTCTTTATGTCTATTTTCATTCTTTGCCATGGTTTTGCTAGTTTGTCTTTATGTCTATTTTCGTTCTTTGCCATGGTTTTGCCAGTTTGTCTTTGTCTAGTTTCGTTCTTTGCCATGGTTTTGCCAGTTTGTCTTTATGTCTATTTTCGTTCTTTGCCATGGTTTTGCCAGTTTGACTTTATGTCTATTTTCGTTCTCTGTCATGGTTTTGCCAGTTTGTCTTTATGTCTATTTTCGTTCTTTGCCATGGTTTTGCCAGTTTGTCTTTATGTCTATTTTCGTTCTCTGCCATGGTTTTGCAAGTTTGTCTTTATGTCTATTTTCGTTCTTTGCCATGGTTTTGCCAGTTTGGCTTTATGTCTATTTTCGTTCTTTGCCATGGTTTTGCCAGTTTGACTTTATGTCTATTTTCGTTCTTTGCCATGGCTTTGCCAGTTTGTCTTTATGTCTATTTTCGTTCTTTGCCATGGTTTTGCCAGTTTGTTCTCAACTTATGAGTTTTGAATGTCCACTTGGTATCTTCCTTTTTTTTTATTTGAAAATTTTCTTTTATTGTGAATTTCAGCAGCGAATTAACTGAATTCATATTTTGGCCTTTTAAATATGTAAATACGTATTGTTTATATCATTGTTTAAACTTACTTTTCCAGACAACCTGAACAGAGAAAATTAGCTGACATTTTCTACTTCTCTAAATACAGCCATGTCCGACTCAAATGGTGACTTAAAAACAGTTCAGCAAACAGTTCAAAATGTGGACGTCGAAACCGGTTCGATTGAGGAAACATCTATATCTAATGGAAACGAACCTCAGAAACTATACCAGGCTAATACCTTCAGAAAGGAATACCGACAACCCCACAGCGAGGAATCTATTAAAGAATCGTGCTGCAATCAATTTAGCTCAATCTGCAATTGTTCATCGGAACAATTGAAGAAGGGCTTCTTTAAAACTGTACCTAGTATTAATATTATGAAAAAATATAAAATTCGAACTGATCTTCCAAACGATATCATTGCTGGATTTACCGTTGGTGTTATGCAACTTCCACAAGGTACGTCTAAATACCAACTATTGTACATTCTCATGACATTAGTCTTTGACAAGAGTAGAATAAGAGTCTTAATGAGAAAGGACAAATAAAATAAACAAAAAAATCCCAATTGTATGTACAGTAATTGAAGAAAATAATAAGTTTAACATGTTGAAGAGTACTACTGTATATATGTATGAGCGGAAATGTGGGGTTAACACCAATGAGATGGGACCAAACGACAACACCACCCTAAACCACCCCACCCATCCAAATAAAAAGACATAACTGCCATTCGGTTTTTTAGTTTTGTTTTCTGATTACACGATAGTCATTCATTTCTTTCAATTGTTTGTTAAAACCTTCTTTTTTTTCTCCATTCCGGGAATGATTTTTAAATTAGCCGATTGTCTCAATAATGATAATTCAGAAATTTCTGTCCACAGGATTCAAGTAAAAGTTAGAAATCTATGTTGCAATTGATACCTTTTAAAGGGGGACAAGATGTTATTTGTTTTGCAAACGATATTTTTTTGGACTAGAATTTTTTTTTTAAAAAGAAGTAAATATATTTGACAACTCAATCCTAAAAATATAAGATTTAAGGATTACATTTTTTTTTGTAAAAACAATATTCTGTATTTACAAATCAAAAATCACCTGCAAAATTTAGTACATGAAAAGATCAACCATACGCTGCCAAATGATATCCCTGACATGGTTATAATGTATATCCATGGGAAACGGGTACTTTGATAGGGTTTTGGGCGAGATAGTACCTGTCACTTGATTTTCCTACCATAAGAAACAAACAAAACAATTGCAGTTAAACCTTACATAAAACAAATGTATACAATTAATATTAAGGGTGCTGTAAACGCCATGACTTGGGGTGAAGTCCTGCTATTTGTTTGGTTTAGCTATTATATAAAACTAAGAAGATGTGGTAAAATTGCCAATGAGACAACTCTTCACAAGAGATTATGTATATTTTCGCATGCACTCTTAATCCGTACGTTGTTATTATTTTATACAAAACTACATTATTCGGAATACATAAACAAATTGCAAATGTCAATATATCAGAATTTAAAGTTTTTAAATATATTAACTGGAATGATTGTGTACTTTTAATGTTATATTTGTTCTAGGTATGGCCTACGCCATGTTAGCAGATCTCCCACCTATTGTCGGACTTTATGTAGCATTCTTTCCCGTTCTTCTCTATTATATTTTTGGAACATCCAAACACATTTCAATGGGTAAGTATTAAATATAGTATTTTCGTTCCATTGTGGGAGATAACTACACATGCCGATGATCCATTTGTTAATTGTCCAATTAAAAGTCTTAGTACAGTTGGCTTCGGAATAATTGTCCAATCAAAAGTCTAAGCACACTTGTCTTTTATTAGATTAAATGTCCAATGAAAAGATGCTCCGATCGTCTATGATCATGATATATAAATAGTTATTTGTGCTCATTCAAAATTAAATTTTGGGAAAGAAGAAAATGTAAAAATCAATCTTTAAGAATGTGAATAAAAAATTGTAATCCAAGAAAAAAAGGATCGTTCCTTGTCTCGTTTGAATTCTTTATATGAACAATTGAAAATAACATACGATTGCAAGTGATACGGTGACCTGTATATGAATACAATATTAGATAAGTCGTATGATTATTCCTGAAATTTGATAACAATCAGGACCAATATGTCGTTTGGTCTCTGGCAGAGAGTTGTCTCATTGGCACATCTTCTTATTTTTATATATAATCATAAAAAGGGAGGACTGATTTCTCTAAAAAAACTACTTTAATCTCGACACAATTCTGTGTGTCTGTCCCAAGCCAGGAACCTCTCCAGTAGTTGTCGTAGTTCATATCGATGTATCATGTGATTTGAAGAATTGTGTGTTGATGATTGATCTTGGAATGTTTCTGTTAACGTTTTCACAACGTTTATAGACATAAAGAGCTCGACTTATTTTATAGACTCTTTAAATACAATGTAAGTAGTGTATAATAACGCTTTCAGAGCAATAATGGGATATCAATATAGATGTTTTGCAAGTAATATGTTTGTCGTAAATGAAGCTATGTCCTTCAAGGAAGTTATGCGAAAGTCAATGTTTAGTTTGTTAAATGGCTTGAAAAAATCATTTGGTTAATACAATTCTCAGAAGTGGTTTTTGTATTTAGAGTATGGTACAATGGATATATCTAAATTTTTAACTATAACTACTATAATACTGTAAATATTTTAACTATGTATCCTTTTCAGACAGAATATTTGGTGTCATGTATATATATATATATATGGATCTTATGAGTCTGGAATAAGGAGCATCTTATCTTATCTTATCTATTATAGACAAATGCCTATTGTTGAAGACAAGATCTTGCCCTCTAAATGTCTTTTGATTGTGTTTGTTATTGGGTTTCTGTCTCATTGACGTGTACCCAACAACTCTTTTTATTCATTTACAGCATCTCCTCCTTTAATATATAGCAATTTGTCTTATCTAATTTATTATTCTATTTAAGGCACTGTGGCTGTTGTGAGTCTTATGACTGGATCTATTGTTTCACAACTGAAAGAAAAGCCAGGAGTTATAACAGTCGAACCCTACAATGTGACCGGTGGCAATTATACCACAACAACACCGGGTACACCTGATCTTATTTCTGCACTAGATGTAGAAAAGATGGCGTTAGCAGCGTCTGTATGTTTTCTTGTCGGTGTGATACAAGTAAGTGAATCTAAAATTTATATTTACATTTTTAATGATTTCCGTCGTTCTATTTTTTCCTTTGCCTTTTTCTTCACTTTTAATTTCCATGTGGGAATTTGGTGTTGGTGGTGTATGCCGTTTGCGGTAACTATTACATGTAAATATAGCTTGACGAACCAATCATAAAGCTTAACAAATAATATTGACACTTGCCATTTTTAAAGAGCGTATACTAAGTTAACTTCAAGATTGTTTTTATCATATTGTTGGGATGCTGTCTTATTGACTGGCCTCTAAACAATAATTTATACTAGTTCAGTGAAATGGATGCCATACTAAACTCCGAAACATTCAAATGAAAGAAGAAAAAAAAAACACCCAAGACTAACAAAGGCTAGAGGTTATAGTATTGTTACTGTATATTAATAATTTATTTCAGGTATTATTTGGTGTTTTCCGTTTGGGATTTGTCACCACATATATGTCCGACCCTCTGGTCAGTGGATTCACCACCGGGGCTGCTGTACACGTGTTTACTAGTCAAGTCAAGTACATATTTGGATTAAAAATAAAACGGTTTCCAAACCTATATCAAATATTTAATGTAAGTATATTTTAAGAAATCAAAAGTTCAGTTTATTTATGTTTTAACTACAGTTGTTGTAAAATGTAACGTTATAGAGGCAAAACAAACCCAGAAAATCCAACTTCCGAAGCAAGATCATCATTCGGCTCTCATAAAGTTCTGTGTTGAATCGCCGGGCCGAGTTTACGAGATTCGGTCAATTTACAGAAAATCCTGCAATTTTGCATTAGTATTACCCCTCTCCCCAAGAAAACAAAACAAAAAACAACACAAATATCGTTAGTCATATCAATATAGTAATTGGATGAATCTTTTTGAAATAATGGAGTACTATTATACTACAAACGAACTAACTTACATCGTGATGAACTGCTAGACTTGTTTTTATTCTACTTTAATTTGAGTGGATACTATATATGTTAAATTATAATACTGACTGAAAGCCAGGAAATAGTCCTAATGAGAAAAGCAGAAAGTCAGCATAATTCTCTGTGATATGTTTAAGTATAGCATATTAGTATCGCTTAGACGTATTACACAACATTCAACACGCTTGTTTGCAAGTGTAAACTTTCAATATTCTAGAAAGATTTTGTTTAATGTATTATTAACAAATTTCTTATTGCTTGATATTAAATTCACGATTTACAATATTTTACAGCAAATCAGCAATCTTAAGATAATTTTTAATAGATTTGTTATTTACAGCAAATTAGCACTTCCTAGTGACAAGTTTAAATACTTTTGTTTACGACAATAAGCACTTTCAAGATAAGTTGAAACATTTTGTTATTTTACAAAAAATACGCAATGTATGAAGTTATTTCATAGTTTTTTTAAGATAAGTTAAATTATCATTTTTATTTTTTCAGACGTACAAAGCAATTATTGAGAACATTGGTGATACAAATCCCGCTACAATTATAATGTCGGCGATTTGTATTGTGATTTTATATATAGTGAAGGTTCAGGTCAACACAAGATTCAAGAAACACTTGAAGATACCTATACCTGTTGAATTAGTAGTGGTGAGTGTAGATTAGAGGGGGAGGTTTTGCGATCTCTAGTTTGAAGGCTTATTGGTAAAAAAAATGTCACGTGGACATCGCGTTTGGACGAGAAACTGGGAATGCAAATTGATATACGGCATTAAGAGCCATGGACAGAATTGTGATAATCTAAAACAATTTTGAAACCATAAAAGCTATTACGGAGTTAATAACCTAACACCATTAGGATACACACGAATGTAACAGCCCACACGGTATGGGGTTTTCTCATTGATGAAGGGCGTACGGTGGCCTATGATATAGAAATAAGGAGATGTGGTATGGTTGCCAATGAGACAACTATCATACCGCATCTCCTTATTTTTTATATTGTAATACAAACTTATGAAATATTAAAAAAGTCATAATAACAAGATTGCAGTATTTATCAACTAATAAAAAATGAGTTGCACGATAGTAAACAATGTTTATATTATTTATTTATTTGTTTTGCTATTTTTTTTACGATATTTTGATTGATATATAAACAAGGACACAGCTGTTACATTAGCTTTCCTCGTTTTTTATATCCCATTTGCTAAATATGTTCTCTACTGTAGGTAATCATTGGTACACTGGCGTCTCATTATGGACATTTTCATGATACATATGGAATGAAAACTGTTGGGAAAGTTCCTGCTGGGTAAACATATACTTATATGATAATCTTGTCATTTAAAGTACTTTATAGTACTTTACATACGTATGCATATTTTGTTATACTAAAATAATCTAAAGTTTATCAAAATAAAGTGACATTTAAATTGTCACAACATTTTTTATTTCATAATCCAAGGTTCTTTCTTTGATTGCTCAACAAAAGATCGCGGACAATTTCAAGAGTCATTTCACAGTCAAGTTAAAGGTTATTGCCGTCCGTCTTGACGAGACCATAAGCTTTCCTCAATGAACCTCGATTTAGATTGATACATTGACAATCAGAAAACAACCTACGGCCAACTTATTTCATCAATAACTTAACATAAAGCATGACGAAACATATTGAATAAATGAGTAACATATACAAAAGTCGTATTTTCCCTTAAGTCATAATTTTAATTTAATATTTTGTGTAGTAGTAATCAAATGTTTTATTTTATCTGTTCGTATACTAGTTTCCAGTCAAAATATATGTTACAGAATTCGATGTTTCAGTGTCTAATGAATTCTAGGTAACGTTTTTCAAAAGCGTATACCAAACCGTTGTGGTTGGCTAACAACTTCATAAACAATAGGAATTCAACCAATGACTTTATGTTTTTTCTATCTTTTTGGGTACGAACTATGATTTACCCACCGTCTTTTAAATTCTCAAACTTCGAATTTCAAGGACAATTAATTTTTTTTCAGGTTACCGGAACCTAAAATCCCTTCATTCAGAGATGCTGCAGATAATTTCAGTGAAGCTATCATTGTCGCCGTTGTTGCATTTGCTCAGTCTGTTTCTCTTGCTGCCCTTATGGCAAAGAAACATCATTACAGAATAGATTCAAACCAGGTATACCTTGTCTAAATATTTTCCGATTTGTGTTTTCCATTTTGTATAGTAAATTCTCTTAATGTCTTTGGTTCGTTTTTGGTTATATCTTCTGTACATTTATATTATCAACAAACAGCTTAAGTACTATATTTATATTTTTAGTACATAGTTTTATAAGATCTCAGTTCTTAGTTTATACAATTTCCATCATAAATCAAGGATTGTTTTGAAAGACAATTTTTTTCTAAGACATAGAGGCGTAAGTTCTGTGAAAAAAACGAATACGAAACACATAGTCTTTTTTAACTTTCCAAAGAATTCAATGCATATATATGACACATAAACACATACAACTTTTAACTAATCTAGGAATTCACCGCATATGTATGACAGATAGAAACACATACTCTTTTTTACTATTATAGGATTCGTTGCTTATATATGACTCATAAAAACACATACTGTTTGTAACTAACCTAGGAATTCATTGCACATATATATGACACATAAAAACACATACTCCTTTTCACTATTCTAGGAATTCATTGCTTATATTTGACACATAAAAACACATGCTCTTTTTCACTATTCTAGGAATTCATTGCGTATACTAGGAACCATAAAACACATACTCTTTTTCACTATTCTAGGAATTAATTGCATATACATTGTATATGACACATATAAAACACATACTCTTTTTCACTATTCTAGGAATTCATTGCATATGGAGTATCTAATATATTTGGATCTTTTTTCTCCTGTTACCCTGCTGCAGCGTCTGTTTCCCGTAGCTCTGTTCAAGAATCAGCAGGAGGTAAAACCCAGGTAAATAATCCATGTTGATTACTGAAAGACAGAAAATGTAATGGAATGATTTAAATCTAGACCCACAAAGGTTGAAGATTCCTAATTGGAAGACAAACTGATATCGTCTAGCAAAAAACAAAGAACGACCAAAAGACAAACAGCAATCTATATGGCACAACACAGAAAACTAAAGAGTGAGCAACATGGTCCTCACCAAAGTCTGGTGTGTGAGGAACATGATCCTCACCAAAGTATAGTGTGTGAGCAACATGATCCTCACCAAAGTCTGGCGTGTGAGCAACATGATCCTCACCAAAGTCTGGTGTGTGAGGAACATGATCCTCACCAAAGTCTGGCGTGTGAGCAACATGATCCTCACCAAAGTCTGGTGTGTGAGCAACATGATCCTCACCAAAGTCTGGTGTTTGAGCAACATGATCTTCACCAAAGTCTAGTGTGTGAGCAACATGATCCTCACCAAAGTCTGGTGTGTGAGCACCATGATCCTCACCAACGTCTTGTGTTTAAGGAACATGATCCTCACAAAAGTCTGGTGTGTGAGCAGCATGATCCTCACCAAAGTCTGGTATTTGAGCAACATGATCTTCACCAAAGTCTGGTGTGTGAGCAACATGATCCTCACCAAAGTCTGGTGTTAATATGATCCTCACCAAAGTCTGGTGTTTGCAACATGATCCTCACCAAAGTCTGGTGTGTGAGCAACATGATCCTCACCAAAGTCTGGTGTTTGCAATTCGGTAGAACAATATGTATAGCTGAACAGGCGATGTGCTGGTTGACATGATTTTTATACACTTTATTGTTGAAGACCGTATGTTGACCTCCATATGGTTTTAATATGGTGCAGGTTGCTGTCTCATATTGACTGGTACCCCACATGTCCTTTTACACATAGATACAATTACACATGCACGGCAGCAGCATTTGCTGAACATTCACTCTAGTATTGTGGAAAAAAGTAAAATAACAAAAATACCACACTCCACTGAAAATTTCAAAACGGAAAGTCCCTTATCAAATTGCAAAATCAAAAGCTCAAACACATCAAACGAATTGTAAACAACTGTCATAGTCCTCCTGACTTGGTAGAGGCATTTCCTTAGGTATAAAAATGGTGGATTAAACTTGGTTTTATAGCTAGCTAAACCTCTCACTTGTATGACAGTCGCATAGAATTCCATTATATTGACAACAATGTGTGAGCAAAACAAACAGACAATAATAGGTAAAAATGTCAAAAATTGCTTTAATATGACCATCGTTTTTCTTCGATTGGAAAAGGCATAGTAGAATATTGAATAACACGCATTTATTGATCCTAATAGACTAATAAAATGATTGTTCTGACCAAAGACATATTTTCTTACACATAATGATTTATTGATAGCTATAACGTTCAAGTCACAATTATAATATTAATACATGATTAACATGTGTTGCATTGCTAATAATGTTATGTCTTTTATTATGAAAACAATCAATTATCAATTGTATACTTTAAACGAAGTGTTTATACGTACACACAAAATGGTCTTGATTTATAAGTTATCTGTAATAGAATATTAGTCTTTAAACGTCAATGTCATCATGCAATGTACTATCCCTTCGGAACACCATATCAACGTGACTTGCCGTGTACAAAACAGAAGATTTCTGCCAATGTCGGCATGTTTGAATTATCAATTAACAATCGGAACTCCTCGACATTTTTCTCTGTGACATAGCTTTGATATATGTTTTGCCTCTCATCACAAGCTACGCTATTGACAAATTCCTTATAAAATGATAACTGTCCTTTTTATTTTGTTTTTATAAATACATTTTTTTTCTGTAGACAGTAACATATTTTTTTTCATTTGAGTGCGAAAAGAAAATAGTAACTGTTTTTCTAATCTATAACACAATAATGAATATTACCAGAACAAAACTTGTATCTGAAACAGTCAATAGTATGATAAACTGTTTTATTAGTTCACTTTAGACCTGGTCGAAGAAACCTATCATTATTCAACGTATAGTTGACAGAAACATCTATAAAAACAGGAAAATTATAAGACGGAAAATTTGATTAAATAATATTCATATTTTAAAAGAAAATTTCTTCTTTCCTTTTAGCTTACGAGTGTATTTTCTGCAGCTCTTGTTCTCATTGTAATTTTGGTTATTGGACCTCTCTTTGAAGATCTACCAAATGTAAGTATTTCTTAAATAGGATAATTTATCCATCTTGCTGATATGTTTATCACTGTTAAACAAAAAGTGACACGAACCTAAATAGAACAACAAAGAGATAATCATGCAATTATTTGAATTATCTTCATGAGGATCTGGATGTGGCGTGTACAAAATAGAGAATAATGGGTCCAAAAAAATAACAACAAAAAGAGAAAAATGAATTAAAATAAAACAAAAGGGAATAATGATGTCCTGAATTATATATATTAAAAAGATACAGAATACTTGGACAAAAAAGAAGGAATAGAGAAAAATAGCCTTAGAAATTAAGGAATGCAGAAATAAAGAACCCCTTCCAGACCGTCCGGTACCTGAAAACCAAACATGTAAACCTTCTTTGAGTATCAAAACCACAAAGGACACAAAAATAACAAACAAAACATAGTTATTGTGACACTATGGATTCACTTATGTACTTAACAAAAAAGTATAACAATGATGCTACTTCTGGATCAAATTATTTACCTTTACTGTCTGTCAAAGCAATTATTATTTTTATACATGAACTATAGCCACTATAGTCATAAAGTTTTTTTTAAAGCATTGATCGAACATCATTCTTCATAAACATTGCAATTAACTTATACTTCCAGTGTGTATTATCATCAATCATCGTGGTAGCATTGAGAAGTATGTTCATGCAGTTGTTCCAGCTTAAAAAGCTGTTTCATGTATCAGCTTACGATTTTGTAAGTATGATTAAGAAACGCCATAGCAAAGTGAAAGTTCCAATTTTTAAAGAGGGTATTTAATATTCGCTGTCTCAAATTATATTGCCAAATATAATACGTAAAACTTTTATAAAAATAGCATGGTGATATTTAATATTTAATAAAATCTAATACAGAAATCATCAGTGATGTAGTCTGGCATTTTCAAAAAATTGGAAGGAGCCAATTTTGCTCGAAAAAGGGCAACCAAGAAAACCAGATAGAACAATTTGCAAAATACCAGAAAAAACCAACAACAGTCCATAAAACACCACATAAATAAAGGCAACAGTAGTATACCGATGTTCGAAATTCATAAATCGATTGAGAAAAAAACAAATCCGGGTTACAAACTAAAACTGAGGGAAACACATCAAATATAAGAGAACTACGACACAACAGAAACACAACATTAAAATGTAACACACACACAGAAACGAACTATAATATAACAATGGCCATTTTCCTGACTTGGTACAGGACATTTTAAGAAAAAAATGGTGGGTTGAACCTGGTTTTGTGGCTAGCCAAACCTCGCACTTTTATGGCAATGTTAAATATAACACTAAATGACACCATTACATGACATGAATACAGTACAACATTACGGACAGAGAATTATGCAAATAAACAATACAATATAGTACCTTTGGACAACGAAACAACAGAAACACTGAAATGAACAAACAACAAACGACAATGCAACACACACAGAAACAAACTATACGATAACAATTGCCATTTCCCGACTTGGTACAGGACATTTTTAAGAAAAAAATGGTGGGTTGAACCTGGTTTTGTGGCTAGACAAACCTCCTGCTTTTATGGCAATGTTAAATATAACATTAAAATGACAACAGTACATGACAGGACTACAGTACAAATAAATGGGAGAACATATAGGACAGAGAAACATACGAATAATAGTTAACAAAAGGTTTTAAATTTAATACGCAAGACGCGCGTTTCGTCCACACAAGACTAACCAGTGACGCTAAGATCAAAAAAGTACGAAAGCCAAAACAAGTACAAAGTTGAAGAGCATTGAGGACCAAAAGTTCTAAAAAGTTGTGCCAACTACGGCTAAGGTTATATGTCTGGGATAAGAAAATCCTTAGTATTTAGAATAATTCATACTTTTGCAAACAGTAAATTTATAAAAATGGCTATATAATAGATATACATGATAACACCGAAGTGGTGACTAACTACAGAATAAAAAAGGATACATAAAACAACATAAACCAGCACTTAAAATTTCACAGCCGAGTTAGCCAAAGAGATCAACGCAAAAAAAAGGGTGACGTCACATTTGAATAATGAACTAAACTAGTTTAACCCCGCCACATTCTATATGTGCCTGTCCCAAGTCAGGAGCGAGTTATTGAGTGGTGATTGTTGTTTTTTGCTGTTTATCATATTTGTTTTTCGTTTATTGTTTTGCATAGTGTGTTCTTGTGTTGTGCTGTTGCACCGCTGTCCCAGGTTAGTGGGAGGGTTTGGCGCCATCTAACTAGTTTAACCCCGACACATTCTGTATGTAACTGTCCCAAGTCAGGAGCCTGTAATTCAGTGGTTGTCGTTTGTTGCTGTGTAACATATTTTTTTTCGTTCTTCATTTTGTACATTAATTAGGCCGTTAGTTTTCTCGTTTGAATTGCATCACATTTGTCATTTCGGGGCCTGTTATAGCTGACAATGCGGTATGGGATTTTCTCATTATTGAAGGCCTCACGGTGACATATAGTTGTTTATTCCTGTATCATTTGGTCTCTTGTGGAGAGTTGTCTCATTGGCAATCCTACCACATCTTTTTATTTTTATACACAGAATACTATGGAGTGAGCTACACGAACCCCTACAAATGCCAGGTATGAAGTCAGGTGTTTTGCAAAACCCATTAAAAACTAGTCATGTGTTTCGTAGGAGTCAGCAGTTCCCGTTCCACTAGTGGCAAACACCATGTTATTCCTCTTAAAATACGTTGATGCATCATATTAAGTGTTTAGAGATATCACAACGCACAATAACGGACTCATGGATGTCTCTTGTCTTACAGTCCGTTTCTATGTATGTTGGCGTTTGCTTTTGTTGTAGTTCAGTGTTTCTGTTGTTCCGTTGTTTTCCTCTTATAGTTGATGTGTTTCCTTCGATTTTAGTTTGTCACCCGATTTTGTTTTTGCTTAATCGAAATATGACTATTGAACAGCGCTATACTACTGTTGCCTTTATTTACCCTAAGATATCCCCAAATCTAGAAACCATTAGAAGATGTAAATTATCAATTCCAAAACATTGACTCAATGGGTCAATTTGAAATTAAAACAATGTTTTGAAGACAAAAGATGACGATTCGGTTACCGTGTAGAAATAACATGGACAGCATTGAAAAATAACACTAAAAAAACTGCAGCAAAAGAAACACATATTATGTTTAGACAATGTGACTACTTCAAAAATACTACGCCATTGGCAATATCCTTCATAAATGATAACTGTTCTCATTCATGCTGAAATGAATGTAAGTGTAAATCGAACCCCCTTAAACATAATTATATTTATCCTGCAATCGACCTTTCTACTATTCTAATGCAGGTGTACAGATAACACGAAGTGATATTCGTATATTAGACGTATATAATCTCCTGGTATCCTGCTTCTGTTGCGAGCGAATGGTTATATCAAATAACTGCTTACGTCACAGTTTAATTTGGGGTCCTTATTGCGGTCCGCGTTTAAGTCATGTCGATTTCTTTCAAAAACAAATTCAACGATTGGGATGGAAAAGAAATGTACAAAATTAATTGCAGGATAAAGACAATAACTGTTTGTCTTTACTCGGCTCAAAACAGGAGTAATAGCTCGCTGAAGCTCGCATTACACCTGTTTCTTAGCCTCGTACAAATACAGCTGATATTTAAAGACACTAAACAGTTATTGTCTATATATACCACTGACAAATCATCAAAATCAAATTTTCTCAAAACCTATGCTTGCAATATTCATATCAATCAATTATGTACCTTTGTGAAATGTACACAAAATAAAATATATATATTTTAAATTGATGGCAATTGGTATAAACACCAGGAGATTTATTGTAATTGACAAAAATGTAAACCGCCTTCAACACATTTGTTGACCTAAAAATTTTATAAACAGGCGTTGTTAATGTGTTGCCTTATTCCTTTTAATAATTTTTTATATATCATAATACGCCATTTCAGAATCTAAAGCACTACATATAATTCAATTGTTGGCAGCCGAAAACGAAAAAGGCGTCACTTCATCAGTTGAATTTCTTTTCTACGGTTGCTGTTAGCCAATCACAACATTTTTGTCTATGCTTTTGAAAATTTCCCCCAGAATGCCTCAGATTCTGAAATGACGAATTAAGGTAGCACAATACAAAGATTTTTTCATCCCCAATCATACAACTTTAAACTGATGTAATTTCTTTCATCAAGCTTTAAATATTATAAATAATTAAGGTACCAAAAGAAAGAAGAAATATTAATCTTTCAAATGGTGATAATTTCATCATGACATAATTATTACATAATTAATTATTATGTAATTAGTTGCTTTATTGTGATGTCCACACATGAATGAAATTAGCTTCTTTGTTATTCATACCATCCCAAAATATTTTATAGATTCTTGTACAACACAGTTTGACCTCCAAAACTGTGTCTCAGATTTTTCCTATCGTATTTCATTCTTTCATAAACCTTCAATGAAGTTTTCAACCCCAATTCATAAGAGATCACTAAATTTAATTAGGTATAAAATTTGTTCTATTGATGTTTTTGGAAATCTGAGACATGGTTTTGAAGATAACTGGTCAAGTAACAACATATGTGAAAATCAGGCATATGGGGGCACCCATCTAGGAGCTAATTTCATTTAAAACTACATTTTCATGACAAAAATGAATGTGTCACAATTGAATAAATAAGGATTTTCCTACTTGTACCCCATTAACTTCGATATAATTCAAACATGTACCATGCTTCAGGATTGGCCTTTAATCAAAAATCAATTAGGTTTTGACCAGTAAGAAAGCATTCCATGTGAGCAATTCTAAATATATAAAGAAAATGCTCACCCTATGCATCAAAAATCAGATCTGGCGGGAGATGTTATATCATTATTGACCTAGCTGTAAGTCAATTGCTACTGATATGGTCAAAACTCCGGCCACCATGATAAACTTTGACTATTAATGATCTCAGAAGTTTAATTACACATTGCATTTATTTTTTTTTCAAAATGGATTTTATTCTTTTAGTATATAAAATAATATATTTTGATTTTTGCTTTGTTACAAAAAGTAAGTTATGCATGTGTACACAAAATGATTAGTTGGTCAGTCTAGAGGATCCTTATGGGGGATTTCTAGAATTACAATTGTATACAATGAAAATATGGTGTTTTACACAAAGTAGATTTTTTTCTTTTTTGCAGTTTGAAAATGAAATATTTAATTTGTATTTTCCTTTAAAAAAGAATTCATATTTAAACATTCTCCTCAGGAAATTCTAGTATAAACATCAGCAACATTAATTGTTGTACAATTATCTTTTTTTAATATCTGTACATTTATATTTTGATTCCCTCTATATCTTCAAATAGTGTTTTTTTTTCTCCTGGCAGCTCAAATATAGAAATGTATTTTTATTTGGAATTCATTATCTTCATTTTTCCATAAATCCCTAATCCACCTCTTTTTTCATAACTGTTATTTTTATTGCTGGTCAGTGGTCATAAAGCTACCAAATGATTCTATTGATAAACCACATGTTCTTATCTTGTATCAGTCAGACACCTGCATTTGTTTATAAAACTAATTATCATCAAAACTCATTAACAGTGCAAGATATGTAAATAAATTTTTCTTCAGTGGTTTTGGAATATTAAGAAGTAACAAAAACAGCTGAAAATGAAATTTTGATAAAATTTAGTTGCTTTTGTATTGTGCTACCTTAACTACTGATATTTACTACATGCATTTTATCTTATACTTTGTAGGTTATATGGATAGTTACATTTATATCAGTGGTAGTGTTCTATGTAGACATTGGATTGTGGGTAGGAATTGGCTTTTCTTTTGTAACAGTTGTCGTCAGGACCCAGGTGTAAGTTTGTGCTAATATAATTGATTGTATGGATTTGTACATTCTCTAAAATCTTTTTTTTTTAATATTTACATCTTGCATGTTGTCTATTATTAAAAATTTACAAAATTTATCAATTTTCTGATTTAAATTGCTTGAAACTCACTAAATCTGCAAAACCGCTTTAAATTTCAAATGGAATACATTGTTATAAAACTGTCTCCATTATTTAAAAAGTCATAATAAGAAAAATGGTTGACCGATGTGTCGTCAAATGGATGTCACGAAAACAACCATACACAAGTCAATCATTCGATTACTTCGAACCCCCCACACAGTGTTTATCGTATGGAAACTGAACTGTTTTTTTAAATCAGTGCGAATCTTGCATTTCACAAATTCCCGACAGTATAAGTTACAAATGTAAGAAAAAAGAAATAATCATTGATATAAATATGACTCATGTCTGCTATACAAGCTGTTTTTGAAATCGTAAAAAGTGAGATCAAATTTGCAGTACAAAAGAATAGCCTTAACATTTAGTTAAAGACATTATCCTAATTGTTGCATATATATTAAATACAGGATTTATTTTTCAGTGCTAAGGCCAGGATATTAAAGAAAATCGATCCTGTTAATGCATTTGCAGATGAATCTAAATATATTAAGGTACATATATAATTGTAATGGTATTTAGTTATGAAACGGAAATTTTGAAGAACTTAAGACAGTTTTTTTTTAACAGAAAAAAATAATGGGGGACACAGTCTTTCTCGTAGATAAAAACCCCATTTTCAGTTCTGACATGAAGTGTCACCGATCATATGATTTCCTCCGACAACTTTATTTTAAACCTAAAAATATGGTACAAGAATACAGAAATGTAGAAAATACCAAATAACAGTATTTGAATGGGGTAGAGTTTCAATGTAGAAAAGTACAACAAAAATATCGAACTCCAAGGTAAATTCAAAAAGGGGGAATTCCATAAAAACTGACAAAATCAAACCTTATCAACCGACTACTTTCCAATATATTCTCTTGGGTTTAGCAACCATTTGATGGGACTTCTCTATGGTAGTCAGTAACCCATTCACCTCCTGCTCCATGGTATGATAAGGAACCCGTACAACAATTGGTCACATGATAAATTAAATCGACTTCCAATTATCTCAGAAAACTTCAATAAAACATAAGTTCAAATGAAAGTAAAGTTGAACAGTCTGGATATTCCCAAATATAATATATAGCAGCACCATAATTGTCATCATCATGAAACGAACAACTGTATAACTTAATTTCATTTAACTTACAGACTCGTCATCATGATAAGCACATTTGTATAACTTAATTTCATTTAATTTACAGACTCGTCATCATGATACGCACATTTGTACAACTTAATTTCATTTAACTTACAGACTTATTATGATGAAACGAACACATGTATAACTTGATTTGATTTAATTCACAGACTCGTGGATTCTCGGGAATAAGGATTGTTGGTTTCAACGCGCCACTGTATTTTGCTAACGGCGATCTTTTCCTCCGACAAGTGTATACCTTATCCGATACCAAACCAGAACGTGTAAGGAAACAAATAAAAAGGCTTGGATCCATATCGGAATTCAGAAGACAGGTATGAAAGTAAACTTTCTTAAAAAGATGTTTTAAAACGTGTTAAATGTATAAATGAATGCGATCTTTATTAAGTATCGCTGAAGTTGCAAGATTCTAGACAATATAAATGAATTGTTATGATGAGGGTTTCAAAGGAACTCACAAGTTCCTACTAGCAATTGTCTCAATTATTTTGTTGAGTATCGTATATATATTTACCAATTTTCATTAAATCGTGAAAAGTTTATCAGTTAACACATGTAACACATGCGATCAGACACAATATTACCTATCACGAAATATATACAACAAAAAAATGTCTGTTTCAATTTTTTCCTTCCTAGATATCAAAGGGACGACAGGTCGATGTTTTTTCAGTTCAAAATTCGGAAATATCAAATCTGATTAAAATACAAATCCTGTGTCCATACTTTACTTACAATGATCTGACAACACTCTGTTCTTCTTTCTGTTCTGGTAATTATTACTTAAGCCAATGAAACTTCAGCCTTCAAATATTTAAAGGTGTATATCATTACGTCAAAACCAGAGGATCCCGAAAGATTTTTAAAGCAGAAAGTAGAATGTTAGTTACTTGTTATCGAAGCGTGGACACATGATCTGCAGTTCAATCAGATTTGGAAAATATCGTTTTTTTTGTCAACGTTTACTTGTTCCTTCTAACAGAAGTTCCTTAGAAAACTGTGTTATAAACAATGCTATAGTATCTTTTCCTGTTAGAACAATCATTCCATACCCAATATTTCACCAGGAGCGAATGGTGTTATATCTCTTCCAATGGAAATAATTTTTCGGAATATTTCTTCCATTTATATCTATTCTATAATATTATAAAAGTTCTATTTTTCATTACATTTTCAACGCTTACGGTATCATACATATCGCTTTAGACTTTAGAGGAGTAACTCCATTTTCGATTTTCTACAAACAAATTGACGGTTGTTGAAGGAAGAACTCACCAATTCTGTTGCGTATTCTGGTTAAGTATGAAAACGGCTACAGCAACAGATATGGTGGCAAGTGTTTTCACGAAAATATCATAGAAATCGGTGCTCAATCTATTTTCAGTCCGGAAAACCTAAAGACATGTTTGTTTTGGCCTTAGGAGTACTGTACATGTTTATTATTTTAGTTTCCTAGCAGATACATGGTTCCGATAATAGTTTTATATCATTTCCATTCCGCCCTTATTATATGACATACCTATATTTGAACCAAAACAAAAAAACGTACATGCTCATATAATGTTTTATAAAGATCAAAGTCATTCTGATGTTGTTTTGTTTTTAATCTAGAGTTCCCTCAAATCGCTAGAGTCTATATCATCATTCCGTTCAGCTCGTTCTGATTCCTCGACTAGAAGTTCAAATACAGGAAACTCGTTAGAAGAGAATGGATTCTTGCCAACATCCAATGATCTTGCTCCAATGGGAAGACCAATAGATACCAGTATGGCCGACTGTGGATACGTCCATCATATAATTCTTGACTGTTCCTCCATATGTTTTATTGATACGGTGGGCGGAAAGATTCTTAAACAGGTAATGTTTCGAATCGCTTCTTTCTTAAGAGCTGATTTGCTTTGGACCTTACGATAACCGTAACATATACGACTTCTTAGATGAAAATATTATCATTTGAATCAGAATAAGTTTATTGTTAACTTCTTCGCCATTTGGGGCTTCAGCAGGGTATGCCTTTAGGTCACAAGTTCATGTTCTAAATTGCCTCAGGTCACCAGGTCACTTTTAACCAAATTTGGCAGGTTTATATTTTAACAATAAACCTGTGGTAAAGGTCACAGATCCTTGTACATGAGACGTCAGATCGTAAGGTCTCCTGGCACACTCCAAGGTCGCAGTTCGGAGTTGACCTTGTTCGAGCCACTCATTAGGTCTCTTGTTGAAAGTTGTCTTATTGACAATCATATCACAGCTTCTTATTTTTCTTTTAACTACATTATTAGTTTTTAATAGTACTAGCTGAGAATGAAATACTAAGAGAATCATCACACTGGATAAAGATACTTCAAACTTTAAGTTCCTGCAGAAAGTAAGAAAACGTATGATATGACTACAGTGTGTGAAATGAGCGTTTCTTGAGTGACATTCATACTGTACCTCTGATGAATATATTAATGAAGTAAAAACCGTATTTCAAAAGGACGTAGTGGCTCAGGAAATTTCAACCTTGTCTCGCCTGGTATTATTGGCTAATACTCATTCTAAAAATTGTTTATATGTTCATAATTCACGCCAATGCTTGTCTGTTTATACCTAGGCTTATGATAGGTATGTTACACATGTTAGCACATTGTACATAATAGACATCAAATAAGACAAAACAAATCAAGTTTTGAACAATCTCATTTAATAAAATACACACAAAACTAAGCGTCTCAGTGAAGAGCAAAACAGCATATTCGTTTTGGCAAATATCACGGCAGAGGTATTTATATACTGGTAATGGTGAAATATGCTTATAAAAGAAAATACAAGCAAAATACAATATCCACCAATTTAAATCCAGGATACATATGCAACGTTTTGTTATCACACTAATTGAGCAACTTTTTCTCATCATAATTCTTTGGCATCTAGTGCATTGTTTTATCATTAGCAATCGTACCATATTTCCATTTTATGATAACTATAGTTTAAAGGGAGGTAAATGATATAATTGACAATGTAGTAATTATTTTAACAGTCAATTCTAACGTGACCAGTCAACTATTTAGCTAATACTTCGAACACTTTCTGAAATGAAGAAGGTAATGGAGTAGACAAGAAATGATTACTTTTAAGTTGATAAAAAATAAATAGATGTTTAATTTATTTTTTTCAGTTGTGTGATGATTATAAATCAATTCATGTAACAGTGCTTCTGGCGTGCGTCTGTGGTATGTATAGATAAATTTGAAAATAAAAATAATATCGACATGATAGTAATAATATGTATGCATGTCCAATGTCATCAGTCAAAAATGGTTATTTAGAAATGTTGTTTTAAATTTTAATCGGTATATGCTTTTTTGATACAAATAAGTTATTTAAAATAATATATATTTCTAGTAACAATGGAGTTTTAGATAAATCATTAGTATCAATAGTTTGTTTTTAAAATTAAACTAAAACAAATTTCGACTGTCAAAATTGTGAAACATTGGGTTTGACAACTAAATGTCTAAGTTGTTTGTTCTCTGACGTAAGGTCACACTCAAAATAGAATCTGATGGAAACCCATGGAAAGAATAAAAGCACAACGCTTTGAATCAGGGTTCTGGCAAAAATATTGTTCATAATAACTGAACTATAAGTATAAAATGTCATTTATTTGAACGAGCCAATGAAGGGAATCAGACTGCACTAAAACAGTAAAAAAAAGAGAGATAATTCAAATTATTTTTCAGCTGCGAATGCTGAATCGGAAATTTTAAAATCAGTAAGGAGAGAAACGGTACTGTTCGTTAGCTGCGAATGCTGAATAACAATTCATAGTCGAGTTAAGGTGCAACAGGATTTTCAAAAAATGGCAACTATAACTGAAATATCTACTACTCTAAAATATTGTTTTATAATCATGTTTTGGTTTTTTAAGCACAACTCATGCCATTTTATTTGAAACTTACACATAGATATTCCTGTTTCAGATCAGGCATGGTCAGTGCTAGAAAAGACAAAGTTTGTGGAAAAACATGGAGACGTTATGTATATGACAGTTGAAGATGCAGTTACTGCTGCTAGACTTGCATCACCAGCAGAAGAGGTAGGCAATTATTTCAATGATTTCAGTTTTAAAATACAGCTATGTTTCATCCATAAATTTTGATATCAAATTTGTAACACTGACAATGTTTGCTCTACTAACAAATAAGATTAACAGCTTAATGACAATGTCAAATACACAGTAATGTTCATTAGTCAATAAGTTTTTTTTTATTTTTGCGGTATTGCAAAATTTTTAGAAAAGGTTGAATTGAAAATTATTAACTGGGACATGTTAAATCAGATGTTAAATGTTGTACACGTGTTTCATCTATAAAAAATTTGAAAAGGTCAAATAAAGATTTTGAAGAGCATTGAGGACCCAAAATTCCGAAAGATTTTGCCAAATACAGATAAGGTAATCTTTTACTTGGGTAGAACATCCTTATTATTTCCAAACATTCAAAGTTTGGGAAACAATTTCTTTATAATTATGACCACATCATTGTTAATTCATGTCAACACAGCAGTGCTGACAACTAGGCTTGTGATAACCTGTGGAAGGAAACCTCCACCAGCATTGGTAACTTTCATAAACGATAGGAAAACGTTCTTATATGGATAATGAGACGCTTGGAGCATAAACTACTTTTATTGGTCTCTAATATGATAATGAAAACTTAATATCTTTATAGGCAGTGGAATTTTTATAAATAACAGTAATGGTTTTTTTTAAACTAGTGATATTTTGTTTGCATGCACATGACTAACAGAACTAACAAATTTACGAATTTTCAGAGAAAATTGCAAATTTATCTTGATACTATCATGGAAGAATCCGAAATTAACACAGAGACACAATTGATTTCTGTTAATACTTGACAGTGAGTAATGGGATTCAATGGGGATTATTATCGCTACTTTCCCACATACATTTATTTGAACTACTTTTTAGTTTTAGTTGATCGTATTATCATATACTGCCATCTTATTAATTTTAAATGGTGGTAAAGGCTAGGAAAATGAATGAACGGATATGAATGGGATTCACTGGGAAATACTATCGCTACTTTCCCATATACATTTTCTCTCAATCTATTTTTAGTTTTAGTTCATCTTATTTTCATATACTGTCAGCATACTAATTGAAATGGTGGTAATTACTTAGAAAATTAATGAGATAATATGAGCAGGTTTGGTCATTACGCGTTGAATTTAAACAATGAAAGAGACAACACTTTTGAGAACTCAAATAACTCATTCTGATCGGTAGTTTTTCTACTTAATTTCTCTTAATTTTGTTGCATCGATTTGAATGAATTTGAATAAATGGTACAGCTGCGGGAATATAAATGACACAATGATTAAATATGTTAAAATGAAAGTACTTAATCCACTATTTTCTACATAAGGAAATGCCTGTACCAATTCAGGAATATGACAGTCGGTTTCCATTTGTTTGATGCGTCTGAGCTTTTGATTTTGCCATTTGTTAAGGAACTTTCCGTTACCAATTTTCCTTGGAATTCGAATTTTTATAATTTTACTTTTGACATGAAAAGGCCAGTTTTGAAAAGTATAGAATTCTGTAACTTGTAAAATGAATAGAAGAATTGAAAATGTCACATGAAGACTACAGTTTCTTTTCGTAAAGAAAATATCGTTTCACTGTTACTTTTATGTTTTGATATAATATCAAAAAGTAAATGAAAAACAATAAACATATAATATCATGCCTGTACTTCCAGTCAGTTTTTGCCTTAATTTTTTTAAATACAATATTTTGGCACACCGTCGTATAATCTAAGTAACGTCAAGAATTTAGTTTGAATACCACCTAAAAGACGTTTTGCACATTCACAGGTTTTCATGATATTGTCTTACAAATATAGGTAATAGGTACAAATGTACCTACATTCGGTTGTTACATACAACATATCCTTTATTTGAGTGCACATAGACATTTTGACGTTTCAACTCTGCTATGTTGCTTTGAATTAAATGAAATCAATAAAATAGTACCGAAGAACTACTTAATATTTGCATGCAATTTAGTGTTATGTACAGTATATGTTCTTATTTTTAGAGAATTCAATACTATTTTGTTATTTCTAAATTATACTAATTTCTCTAATGGAGTGGTGCTTTGAGGTGTTGGTCTTTTATTGGTATGTTTTTCATATAAAATCTAAATGTAAAATAATGCAATCAGATATTTATTATTTCAATTATAAAACTTTGACAAACTCTTTCAATAGTTCAGAGAATTTCAGCAATTTTCCATCAACATTTTTTTTTCTTTTGCGATCTGTTGCTATTGACTATGAAAATGTGTTATTAACTTCATGAATTCGAAAACAATTATATATTTGATGGGAAATATAATTTAACGAAAGCATCTTCTTATGTAAAACATAGAGGCATTATAAGCATTACCACTTTGTGTCAATTCAAGCCCTATCGCCTATTGTCCTTTTTTAGTTGAGCAATAAAGTTACTTTTTCACCCAACTTGATTCAGCTCCCATTTGTGCATGAGTTGTCACTCCTGGATATGTATTGACATCGAAAATTGAAAAACATCATGCATATCTGTGGAAATACATGTTGACCAAAATTTATACTTAAAATTAACTGAAACTTCTAGTATCATACATGTACCAGACATCATACCATCGGAAATTGAAAAAAAGATTTAAAGAAAAGAAATGTTATACAAACTACTTGAAAGTTTCTAACCGAATTGAAGACTGTTAAGACAAAACGTGCTATAGCGATATGCGAGGATCTAAAGATGAAAAGACCTTTACATGTAGTGGACATATGTTAGGAAAGATCATTATTGAAAATCAGTGATGCTCTTGAAATATCCCATTTTCATTTATGCTTTTTAAGCAATCACGTGAAACTGAATTCAAAGTAACTGTGTAGTTTAGAAGCTAAGAATATGTTTATGAAAAATGTTGCCATAAACATACCGTTGACTTGTCAGAGTTTTATCCCTTAACCCCTTTAGTAATGCATACTTTGATTGACCACGTGATTGTTAAAAAGCCCAGGATGTAGGTTCAGAAGTGAGGCCATGAGTTTGATAACCTTCTGTTAATTTATTTTATGCAACTCCCCGAAACAGCGTCTTATACGTTAAATACAGAATAGGGTCAATGTTGGAATAGTTTATTTGATATTATATGTATATCTTACGAATAACCAATTTGGATAATCATTAAGAGTGCATAATAATATTATTAGATAGAAAGATTTCATAAATTAATAATAAAACTTAAATTCGTTTACTTGTTGTTAATTACTCTCTCATTGTGTTAACAACATAACATTTGTGAATATAGTATTTTAATAAACTTATCTTCTTTATTTTCAGCCCGAAAATATACACATGTAAATAAATCCAGTAGGAGCATACGGGTACCAGTTATCACGCATGAAATTCGAGCAGTGGAAAGTAAGGGTAAAACGAAGATTGAACTCCGATCATTGCAAAAGGACATACGAACTAATAAACCAGTGATTCCACATTGCACCATTTTAAGTTTCTGTTACACTTTTAAACAAATATTGTTTTAATCCCACTAGTGCCTCTGTGATACATGTTAAGAATATAACTTTACCCCAGAAATCGTTCATATGTTTATCCGTTTTCCTGAAGGTAATATTGTTAATTTTAATAAGCTTTATCGAGGTCATTATTTAGGTTTAATTCCTTGAGGTTTGGCAAACCACATTCAAATAGTTATTGATGAAATTAAAATAGAATATAGCATGGGCACTTGCAACACATGGTGTAATATTTGAATGATGTCTATTGTAACTCTTAACACTAGTATATTTTTTTTTTACAACTGTCCCCATAAATGAGTAACCCTAATAAATGCAATGCTTTACGTCATTTGCCAAATCAAGTTATACTTGTATGCATAAAGCATACTGTTTTGGTCATATGAGTCACTGACATATGGCAATGCATTTTAAAGTATAGTGCATGAATTTTTCTTCAAAACAAGACATTTCGTAATATTGGCATCATTGTTAAATATTGTTCATCTCACTTTGCCTTATTTATCACACTGTATGTATACATTTATTTTGTGTTTGCTTCATATTCTATTAATCTTCTTAATATGTATTTTTTCTTCCTTCCTTTCATAAACTGTTTATTTAATCAGGGTATTATGTTATGTAGAATAGATTATAACTCATGTCATTGTGACGAGTTCAGTGTAGATGGGATAAGTCACTAGTTGTTTTGCGCGTCCATGATTTTTTTTACTGTGTATGAAAAGACCATTGAACTATGTTCTTAATAATAAAAAATTTTATGTCTGTTTTTTTTTTAAATCTTCATCAGATACAAGGCGTTTAAAAATGTGATTGACATTTCACATATATTGGATTTTTTTTATTGCAATCGTACATGCAGCTGCACGTTTTGCTACTCGTTTTTAAGAAAGTTAAACGTTTTATTGTCTGAAATAGACTTTCTATTGAGGTTGATTTCATATGACCTGAAAGATTCTCTTTCAATCTTTCACATGTTTCAGTGATAGAGGGACCAATATTAGATTATAGGCTTGTACAGATTATGAACTTTAAAAATGTTTACGACGCCATATGCAATTTTCTTTATTCATCGTTGTTGCAATAGGTAAAATGCCGACACAGAGAACCAAAGATCGTTTGTATCGGTCTGCCAAAATAATGTGTATACACTGTACAGACTATAGATATACGATTACATGTGATATTCTTGTTAAACGGTTTTTTTGACGACATTGTATAATATAAATGCATTAACTGTAAATAAAAATATTGTTATGTTAATGTAGTTTTGTATTAATCGATAAATACCACAAAGGTTGACTGGGAGACAGAAAGATTGTCATCTCTGGACTTTCCCTTTCCTGCGATTAAATCCTTACTAAAGTGGGCTGTGCTTTTGGTTCAGCTGAATGTAGAGATTCCCAGCAACGTCTGTTCGAAATTGCAAGGTTAAATCCGATGAGTCTTGTATGGTTAGTGTCACGCACTCTGCACGTTTAAAATCCCTTGCAAAAACTCTCTGATTACCCGTATGTTGCAAGGCAAAAGTCTTCCTGTATTTAAATTATCCTTATTATTTAGTCGCGGTCAAAAATCCCTGCCCTTATCCCGGTTGTGACATCTAGCAGATAAATTGTTAATATGTTCTCGTCCTGAAAATGCATGGAATAAGTGTCACTGGACGTTAAGGAATGAACAATCATTCAATCAATCAATCAATATCAATATTGTATGAATTTCCATCTTTCAAATTTTCATCCATAGTAAATATGTTGTTCCCCCATGTTTTATTTGTTTTAAGGGAATATGATACAATTCTCTTTAGTGTTGTAGTTTATATACACCTGACATAAAGTATTACGTTAACTTACTACACAGTTTGTCAAACAAGATGATGTCTTGGGTAATAAAAATAGACAATGTTTAACTTTGGATGCTTGAAAGTAGAAAAGTTCAATAGTGCAATTTCTTTTGTTTGGCAAATATGAATATATGTCAGTGATTACAATACACACGACAATGTTCCATACAAAGTGAAGAAACCGTTCACACGAAACTCCGATGCTAACCGTTTTCTCATTTCATGGATCAAACATCAAATTTGTTGTTGTGGTAGTCTTTGCCTTTTTTTGGTGCAAAGCTTATGATAAATTATCGAAATTTGAAGTGGTGGTACTCTCTCACGGACACGACGGCCAATTATGTCGGAAGACATGCTCAATCGACGATTCATCTCAATTCTTTTAACAAAAAATGACAGAGATTACTAACACAACAAATTGTTATAAATAGGGCGTAGATAATGTGACGACAATATGTCGTAAACCAAGTTTTATTCACACTGAAAAAACATAATCCTAATAAACATTTATTTCAGATGCTAACTTGAAGATTCCTTGAATTTGAACTGTGATTTTGTTGGGAAAACATGCATTATAAGGCTACGAAAGTACCTGAAAATAGCGAAAAGTTATATATCCAACAACTTTTTTTTACATGCGTGCTTAAGGTTGCACTTTGGTTAATACAGCTGTTTCACAAGCCACGCCTCTTTTGGGTAGATATATAATATTCATAGATATTTTGTTTTGTTTGCGTACTGGTTCCCGGATATAATCTCTTTGTTGCATCTCATAGGGAGATAACTTGGGAATGTTACCAGTAAAAATACACATGGATAGCGGTCAAATTGAATTCTGAGGAAGTCCCTAAGTGAAGGGAGGGGTAATACCGAATTTTAGTATAAGTTAAAACTCTAAGAAGTTCGGGGCATATAAATGTTGAAAATATGCCACACAGCCCTATGTTTTGACCTTTAAAAAAATTGTAGTGCCTATGAACTATTCATTCTATGATATAATATTTTACGAAACTTCATAGTAAAAGTGGTACATTTTTAGCCGTAAAATGAGTTCCTATGGGCAATTGCATTGTCTATATTTACAGAAGTGGAACCTATATTGGATGAAAAAAGAGAACATGTAGAAATTCACCAAATCTGGTTTATCTTCAGAGATATTAATGAAATTAAGTCAAATATAAAGTTTTATAAATATTTCATGAAGATTGAGAAAATCCTGGGACGTAACGATGATGACTCAGCATAAATTCACTATAGTTTACCTAAAGCCCTGGAAACAAGGTAAAATCATTATATATGCATATTTGTAATTTAAATTATTAAGAAGTGCTTATATTTACTATTCGCAGTCATTGAAACTCATAGACCCTCAATGAATATTGTTGTTGGGGTGTTTCTGTCCTGTCGAAAACCCACATATAACCCGTAACACCTGAATGTGCTTTCTTGTGACTGCGGCATAAAAAATACAAGCTAGAGATACAGAAATACCTCAATAAAAATAACAATAGACAGTGTGTTCTATCTTAAAAATGTACTAAATATTCCATATTCACAAAAACAGCAGAATTATTTAGCAAATTTGATGCCCCAGTGGCAAAAAACAGAGAAAAATACCTAACCCCTGGGTCATAAATAAAGGCAACAGTAGTATACCGCTGTTCAAAAGTCATAAATCGATTGAGAGAAAACAAATCCGGGTTACAAACTAAAACCGAGGGAAACACATTAAATATAAGAGGAAAACAAAGGAACAACAAAAACACTGAAATGCCACAAAAACAAACGCCAACATACATAGAAACGAACTAATTGATAACAACTGCCATATTCCTTACTTGGCACAGAAACAATGGTGGGTTGAACCTGGTTTTATGGTTAGCCAAAACCGATAATTTAACCTGTAAAGGCTATTATTTTATTATTATAAAGGTTTTTTTTTATAGAAAACAATAAATGTGCTATGAAGTTATGCCAACCCCCCTCCAGATTTAAGCAGTCAGATCGAATAAACTTTTAGTGAATTCATATATCAAACTGGTAACCTCATACATACAACTTTTGCAAATATGGCTTAGTTTAAGCACTTCTAGTTCATTATATTAGCCAAATTATGTTAGATATATGGTTAGAGATGATATTATTGTGACAAAATTTCTAAACGGACCATTTGAGGTAGGAATTGTGAACTTTTATAGATAAATGGGCATACAGTAAGATGTGGACTGGACACATAGGCAGGATTGGATACTTTATATAATCTGGAATGTTGGAATGATTAACTACTAAACTTTATATTTATAGTATTCTGAAATGCTTTCAATTTGTTATCAGACCAGTTTCATACAGGTATAACGCATTTCATGTCAGAAAACATGCACATAGCTGACAATAATGAAAGTTTTGTTTTCCTTACTGTTCGTATCGAACATACCCGATGAAGGGCATAAGAAAAAAAAAATCACGTGTTTGCACAGAAATCATTTGTTCAATATCATTACTTTCATGTTATTGGTAGGAAAATCACAGGTAAACCAGAATTGTTCGGCAATTTACCTGCAACCACTATCTCGTAATACGTTATAGAAAGCAAAATGACGGTTCTAAGCGTGACGCTACAAAATATTCTGTCCTGCACTCTTATTCATTTCTTTCAATACATTTTATGTCTTGTATTAAAAAGGTTGCTCTCCGTAAGTAAATTATTACTTGCAAATAGCTCTTTGACAGGTCCAGAACGGAACTATTGCAAAGTAAAATTTCTGCCACCGTCATCATTCACTCTTTTTCCAGTGGTAGTCTAAATTTCCCGCTGTCTATTCGGACGACCCATGATTCAACACTATAGACCGAATTAAAAAAAATATATCTAAATTGCGAAACAAAATTTGTTCAAAAAAGAGCAAATAACAAAAACTATACTTGTTGACCAATAGAAATTGTTTGAGCAAGTACATTGCATATTTATCTTAAAGTCGAAGAGATTTGCAGTCATATTTGTAAATACTAGAAAACTTCCAAAAGCTTTAAAATTATGAACATCGTTAAAGTTATCCACATTGTTTTGCCTGTGAGGAAATGGGATATTAAATACTGCGCTAGAGGCAGACTGTTCTTAAAAAGGAAAAACAATACTCAAATAAAAAAAAATAAATGTATTGAATTTCTCTGATCTTTTACCATTTCAAAACATAAGGTAAGTACAACTTTAATAATAATTTTGATGTAATGGGAAAACACAAGTTAAAGCGGCATGTAATAACGTTGTTACTCCCATCCATATCACCATTATTTGTCCCTTTTCGTTTCAGTTAGAACTCTAAATTATTTCGATGATTTTATCGACATCATCGATATTATATGCTTCTTTCCCTGATTAAATGTGCTACTGTACACGTATTCGTTTATTTCTTCAAACTCCATTACATAAGCAAAAATAGATCTTCATGAACTATTTAGATATGCTACATAATAACCCTTAAAAATTACAGGAAAAAAAATCCGTTTATATTTCAAAGCAAGCATTATTTACATAAGTTTGAAATAACTAAATGTTACGACGCAATGCCGTTTCTTAAAACGTGCATTTTATGGAATAACCGTTTCACAGATGATATAGGATATGTTCATTATGTCGTAACTACAATACCCTTCCCTTTTCACGAATGTGACTTACCGAATTAGACTATTTACCGGATTTGTAATAACATAAGCAACACGACGGGTGCCACATGTGGAGCCGGATCTGCTTACCCTTCCGGAGCATCTGAGATCACCCCAAGTTTTTGGTGGGGTTCGTGTTGCTTAGTCTTTAGTTTTCTATGTTGTGTCATCTGTACTATTATTTGTCTGTTTGTCTTTTTATTTTTGGCCATGGCGTTGTCAGTTTGTTTTCAATCTATGAGTTTGACTGTCCCTCTGGTATCTTTCGTCCCTCTTTTACTTATGCAGACGATGTATTTCACTTTAAACCCCAACCCCTACTTGATATATTGAGTGGTAGATATTAGACTATGCAGGTTTATTTTTCATTACGTCACCTTACACAGTTTTTTTTAACTCGTTCAATTAGGTAACAATAATAATGACACTATGTCTGTAATATGGTATACATAAAAAAAAAGATAAGATGAAGTAAGGTACTTGGTACCATCGCTTCTTATCCAAAACACAACTATATTCAATTTCTCATCGAGAATGTCCATATTCAAATGGATGAGATTAACATATGATTTGCATCATTTGTTCATACTATGATATTTAATTATTAACAGATAAGTCTATGTACGATTTAAAAAAAAAAAAGATCAATAATAAAATCAAGGTAAGAAATATATTTAACTGATTGTATTTGAAAATCGAATTGTAATTTAGATTTTTGCTTTTTGGCAAGAATTAATACATGCACAACTCGTGTAAA